CCCCAAACCCCAAACCCTAAACCTTAACCGCCCGGCCAGCGAAGAGCACATTTCCGGTGCTTTTAGGAGAAAGGCTGCCCCTGCGGTTTAGGGTTTAGGGGTTTGGGGTTTAGGGGTTAGGGGGTTTGGGTTTACGGGTTTAGGGTTTACTGTTTAGGGAGGGGTTCCTGAAATTTAAAGGTTTACTGAAGGGGTTGCTGTGTGTCCTTAAAGGTTGCTATATGGGTTGCTGTATGCCCAAAAGGGCTGTGTGCCTCTTAATAGGGATTCCTTTCAGGGGCACTGTATGTGTTGCTTTAGAGCTTGCTTTAAGGTTTACTGTATGCCTAAAAGGGTTCGTCCCTTTAAGGGTTAGTGTACTCTATAGGTTGATTTTAAGGGTTCGTTCCTATATGGGCTCCCTCCCAGGTGCCAAGGTGAAGCTGAAGTGGGACTACGACAGAACCGAGGCAGAGTTGGAGTCCTGGGACGTGCAACCTGGCCCCATACCCTAAACCCCGAAGCCCTATAGACCCTAAACCCCTAACACCGAAGCATGGAACGACTAGCTGTCCTGCAGTTGTGGTGGTAGTCGTCGTCGCCGTCGTCGTCGTAGTGGTGGTGGCTGCGGCGGCTGCTGCGGCTGCTATTGCCACCACCACCACCGCCGCCGCCGCCGCCACCACCACTGCCATCATCACCACCGCCAACGCCACCGCCGTCACCACAGCCACGCCGCCACCAGAACCAGAACCACCACCACCACCACCACCACCACCACCACCACCGCCAACACCACCGCCGCCGCCGACGACGACGAGGGCTGCTGCTGCTGCTACTACTACTACTACGACGACGACTACGGCTACTACTACTACTGCTGCTGCTGCTACTACTGCTACTACTACTACTACTACTACTACTACTATGCTGTACTACTACTGCGACTATTAAGACTACTACGGCGATACGACGGCGACGAGGACGACTATGCTGCTGGTGCTGCTACCACCGTGTAGCCAGTTTGGCCATAAGGAATTTGACCCTGATAGAACCCTAAACCCTAATCCCAAAATGCCACATGTTCACAGACCCTGAACATGTTCGGTTTGACCTGAGCCGAGACTTGCTTCTACTTGATAAGTCTGAGGAAGTAGTACAAACGCGACATTAGAGCCTTGGAGATGAAAAACAATAGCTCCTCCAGAACGCTGGAATGTCCGAAGCCCTTCAGCCCAAGGCAGAAAAAAGAGTCGGCGCAAGAAGCACAAGAAGTCGTGGAATTCAGTGCCGGAGACAAGGCGCGAGTAGAGTCTGAGTAGAGGCTACATAGTCATATCCGAAGGGTATCGTCCGTTGACAAATCTTCATCACCGAAGCGCTAGAAGTGAGTGTTACCAGTACATTGGCATAGACAGTTCTTCGGGCCGAGGTCGAGGCCAAGTACGGCAGCAGCTTCTACGACGCAGAAGTCCTGTCCATGTCCATGGAGGATGGCAAAGTGAAGCTCAAGTGGGGCCACTTGGCGGCCTATGGTTTTGGGACTGGAAGGGGCACTAAGGGTTGCATCGAGGGTTGCAATGAGGTGTATGTGTGTGGCTATACGGGTTCGGGGTTTAGGCTGTCATGCAGTGTGTTGGGGGTTCCGATATGTTCTCATTGTTGAGCCGTGGCCCTGGAGTAAGATAGAGCCAGATAGAAGGGATTGAGTGACCCCACCATGTACCAATGAAGTTGGAGCGGTCAAAATTCGACCCCAACTCGATGCAGAGAGCCAGATTCTTTGCACGACGTCAACGACTGGAGCAGCCAAACTATAATACAGAGGCTTAAACAATTACATCTACTATTTTGGGGGTTCCTTGCTATAACAATAGTAGAATATACACAAAAACCTATTCTAATTATTAAGGCCCCTACATCGCCTCTCCCGAGCTGGCGAAGCCAATCCCAGTCGCTGCGCCCTGCACCCTCGCGGCCTTGAGGCCATGATGGCTCCGAAGCGGAAGTGGATGCTTCTGAGGTCAAGCTCAAGCCGGACTCCCAGGCACGGTTACCCCTAAACCCCGAAACCCTAAACCCCTATAAACCCTAAATCCCTAAGCCCGGAACCTGAAATCCTCTGCAGCTCAGGGTTTCGGGTGGAGAGGAGGTCAAGTTTGCAGAGGGCTTTTTTGGCTGAAAGCGTCGTTGGCTCAAGTCTGACAGGAAGTGTTAACACTTTAGTAGTTTTCTAAGCTGCGTTCCTCCTTTAAACTGGATCTCCACAAGAGCACGTCATGTACGAGACTCTACGGCCCTAGCAAAATTTAGAGACTCCGCACACTTTGGGCGGCACTGCCCTTACGTCAGCGCTCTGCTTACATGCAGGAGAAAGAGGCCGCGCCCCCTGCAGAGCTCAAGGAAGGAGACAAGGCAAAGAGTTTGGTCTAGCCATGTCCAGCCTTGGGCGGGTTTAGGGTTTTGTAGGCTTGGATTGAGCAGGGATGAAGCTGTTCATGAAGTGTTCCTTTCCCGCTGTGCTGGTGTCTCGGCAGAGTCCTTGGTCCTGCACTCAGTGTGTTGCTGGCATTCACCAAGTCCAGATGCAAAAACAAGGGTTTAGGGTTTAGGACCCTTAAGACGGGGCGAGGGTTGCATGGGCGCTGGCCGGCACCTCAGTCCGTGCTGAAAAAGGGTTAAGGGTCCAGAGAGACCTCGTTCAAAAAAAGGTTAAGGGTCGGAATGACTTAAAGTAGCAATTCACGAATAGGCTTCCCGAGCAAGGAAGCCATATCCAATATTCTTTACTGTCGGTTCCCACTATCGTACCTTAAGTTGTGGTCCTGAACGCCCTACCTTACGGGTTCAATCTCTTTAGAGCAGGCGAGCGGCGTGGTAGCTGGCTTGTGCCGTTCCAAGAACTCATGGTACCCAGAGACTCCAACATCCCTTAATTAAGGAATATACCTTAAATCATATTAAGGATCCTACTATAATTTAGCGAATATTCCTCAATTAAGGGATATTGGAGTCTCTGGGTACTGTGTGGGGCTGGAGTGCGAGGTTTTGAGCTCAGGGCTGCAGATCCATTACCCCTACACCCTAAACCCCTAAACCCTAAACCCTAAACCCTAAACCCTAAACCCTAAACCTTTAGCTTGCGTTAAAAGCTGCCTTTTGTTCAGGGGCTCAGGGCTCAAAAAGAGTTTGGGGCCTGGACACGTCCTGGAAGAAGTGCCAGCTGCCATGCCAGGTAGAAGCAAAGTACGGTGACAGCTTCCATGATGCGGAGGTCACCGCGTCGTCGCGGGTTCATGTTTGCCTGGAATCGTGACAAGTTTTAGGGTGTAATATAGGGGCCTTAGTAACTACCTTGTAGAATGGGGTTTGGGGTATATTCTACTATAATTACATTCAGGAACCCCCAAAACCCTACTCTAACTATTAAGGTGTTTGGTGCTGCACCGCTACGTCCGCAACGATAAACCCTGGAGTCCATAAAACCAGATAATATTGAGGCCTAAGTAATAACCTATACTATTTTGGGGGGTTCCTTATCATGACTAATATAGTGTTAAGGCCCCTACATTGGATTCGCACCTCGTCGACCTTGATCCTATGCCGGACCACACTCTGGCCGTGGATGTGCTCTAGGATGGCGTTTTGGGATTTCTGGGTCTTTGTATTTTTGGGTCTGTCTATGACTCTCTGTTGAGATTTTTGGGCGGGGTTTGTCACCACTATGCAAAGGTTTGGCTTCTATAAAAACACTTATGTAAGACCTCAACCTTGCCCCTGAACCCTTAAAACCTTTAAGCAGTAATATAGGGGCCTTAGTCATTAGAATAGGGTTTGGGGCATATTATACTACAGTTATAATAAGGAACCCCCCAAAGTTATAATAAGGAACCCCCCAAAAACCCTACTCTAACTATTAACGCCCCAAGCAGTAACCCTTCGACCCAAGACCCTGAAACCACCGTTCGGGCCGCGGGACCTCCTCACCTCAGGGACCTGCAACAGCTGATGAGCTTGGGTTATCGGAGGCCTAGGGATGTCGGGAAGGATCCAACAAACCTAAACTCCGTAAAGAACCCCAAAACCCCAGGACCAAAACCCTAAAATCCCACTGAAGGCCCTAAACCCTAAACCCCTAAACCCCTAAACCCCAAAACCCCAGGACCAAAACCCTAAAATCCCAAACCCTGAAGGCCCTAGACCCTAAACCCTAAGCCTTAAACCCTAAACCCCTAAACCCTAAACCCTAATCCCTAAACCCCTAAACCCTAAACCCCTAAACCCTAAACCCTAAATCCGAAACACTAAAACCCTCCGGAAGCCCCAAAGAGCTGGTCGACTGGAGGATTCGATAGTCTGCTCGTCCAAGAAGAAACCTGAACGCTAAGGGTTTATGCTTTGGGAAACCCAGAGACTCCAATGTCCCTTAATTAAGGAATATTCCTTAAATTAATAGTAGGATCCTTCATGTGATTTAAGGTCTATTCCTTAATTAAGGGATATTGGAATCTCTGGGAACGGTTTAGGGTTTAAGGAGTTTAGGATACCAAGTCCCTGGCATATGCGTAGCCCAGCTGGTAAAGGGTACTATGTTCGGAACTGGGAGGAAGCAGACTTCGATCTTCGAGACAGGATTCCGGAAGTATTCTGGCACCCAGAACCCCAAAACCCTTGGCTTCCCTGCACCTTGCAACCCTGAACTAACACCCTAAACCCTAACCCTAAACCCTGAACCCTGAACCCTAAACCCTAAACCCTAAACCCTAAACCGTAACCTGGTGTTTCGGGATCTCCCCGACCAGGTGGTCACGCCAGAGACCGAGGATGGCAAGGTCAAAGTGAAGTGGGGCTGCTGGCTCAGATTCTTTTGGGGTTTAGGGTTTGGGGGTTTAGGGTTTAGGGTTTTAGGGTTTAGGGTTTGGGGCCCTGGTCAAACATAATTTTGGGGCTTTCACAGTGAGAATAGGGTTTGGGGGGGTGGATTATACTATTACTAGAAGAACTAACACTGAGGAATAACATTGGTAATCACTCCGATTTTTTTACAGTAGGGGCTTTCACCATTGGAATATGGCTTGGAGGGTACATGGATTGATGCTTTCGGGGCTTATATATATAGTTAGACAAATGTGTCTGGCATTCTTTGTGTTACATTACGACTGAATTTTCAGGTTCCTACGTTATGGTGGTTGTCACCAAGGGTCTCGGGTTTAGAGTCTAGGCTTTGGGGCTTTCTGTGATGTTGCGGTGCAGCAGTGAAGTTTGTGCAGCAGATGTGGGTCGAGCGCTCGGTGCTTTGTGAGATGCAGCAACGGACCGACCGCGGACGGCCATCCCGCAAATTAATCTAGAAGCCTAAATAATTGCCGATATTACTGTTAGGGTTCCTTATCATAATAATACTATAGAGGACAGGAGCCCAAAACTAGGCTCCAACTTGAAGCTCTGAACCTTGTTGTTGGGAGGAGTGCATTGTCAGAAGCGTGAGCGCGTACATGCTTACAAGCACCAGATGTAGGCTCAAGGTCAGATAGGGCTACTGGTACTTGGTGGTTACGGTTTCGGTAGGTCGTTGCATCAAGCTCGCAGCGGCAACATCTTTAACCCATAGCCCATCAGCATTGGTCCATAGACGCTGCAGCCTTTTTCTACCAAGACGAGGATGCGAAGCTCGCTGTGTCACTCGTAACTTCTAAATGACTCTAAATCCTATACTCGCCCCAAAGACCACCCCTAAACTCCTACAAAACCTCTGAAATCCTTAAACCCTAAACCTAACTCCTAACCAAGATAAAAGCTTCCCCACTACGAGGCTTCGATGGGAGCGAGGCAGACGTCGACCCGTCCGAGGTGCAGAGCTTTTGGCAGATTATAGGGTTTTAGGGTTTTAGGG